CTCCTGGCCCAGGTACTCATCGATGTCATCAGGGATCGGCATGTCCTTGGAGACCACATCAAAGGCCTTCGGGAACACATAGGTAGCTGCCAAAACGAACTTGTACTTGTTGGCCCTCCCGTTGTCGTTCCGCTCGTCTATCCCCTTTTCTGCAAACGCACCACCAATGTCCAAGCTCAAGACGTAGGCGTCCCTGTGAAGCACTCTTCTCGCCGGTCGCCCCGTTCCCGCCGCCGACAAACACACCACGTGACGCCGCCATTCTTCCAGCTGCTTCGGAGTGAAGGTGTTCATCGCCACAGAAATTTTCGCCTCTCCATGCCCATCTTCGGATCCCCTTCGCCAGTGCTTCTCGTAGTCCCGGAGCCCAAACAGCCATGTCCTTCGAATTCCCAGGTTCCGGCCATTCACGTCTCGTGTCCTTCAAGCCACTGAGCTCGTCCAACTCCATGGTAGTGAGCAACCCCGTTGGCTTCCTCTGAGGATGCCCAAGTGCGCCCTGATCAAACCGGTACATATTCATGCCGTTGTTTTTCATGTGCTCGACCAACTTCGTTCTCCAAAACGACGCACACTTCTCCATGACCTCATTGGACACTGCCCCGGGTTGCAAGAACTCGCGCGGATCGTCAGGGTGCTCCATGCCGAACGCCACCGCCGGACCCCTGTCCCTTCTCGGGTAGCACATATCCAAGCCCGTTTCTGCAACCAACCACAACCACACCAAGATCAGGTTGTTGTCGCCTCTCACCAGTGCCTCTTCATCCCTTGTCAGTTGCCCAGGAAGGCCCCAGAGATGCTGTGCCGACCTAACCGGCCGTGGTGCGTTGTTACGCCCTTGTAGTTCACGATGTCGTAGAAGGGAAAAGGTCCTGCAAGGCGGTCCCCCCACAATGGCATGTATTTTCCCCTGTGAGGCCGCCCACAAGAGCAGCGCGAAGATGCCACCATTGGTTGCGATGTCCCACGCCTTGGACTGGGTAAGGTCAATCTCCAGCACTTCTGCCATAGATGCCTCGCGTGTTTCACCCCGTGGACCCTGAACCCTGCACCCAGTCAAGGTCTTGATCGGATCTGAGGATTCCCCCTTCCCGGAGAACAAGTGCACAATCCATCGGCGGCTTGCCCACAAGGATCTCCGTCTTGCGCGATTCAATGGGAGCGACTTCATCAACTTCCAGGCCTCCTCGTTGCTCTGCGGGATTTTCTCGAAGATCCGGATCTTGTCCTCAAACGGCACGTCCGACATGAACTCCGCGCTCAGAACGGCTCGCAGACCATCGGAGGGATCCCCCGTCACGACGTAGTCCTTCAAGAAATCCGCCCAGTTCCTTCCCTCATGCGACCTTGCCACCTTGATCGACGTCTCCAGTTCCTGCATGGTCCTCAGCGCCTCATCAGCCTTGGTGCCCTCCAACTCCGCAATGAGCCTCAGAGCATCACACTCTCGGACTTCCGGGCACGACGACCGCGTGTAAACTTGTACTTCAGGTCGGCTGGGGTGTCTCAATCTGCATCCACGTGCGTTCCAGACGAACTCATATCCCAGCTGTCTAACAAGGGTTCCAAGGGGCACAATTGGTTGAGCTTGGTTGTCCCCCAAGATCGTTCCCTTGTCCGACTGAGGCAACTCAATCTTGGTGTCCCCAGCCAGCACAACTTCCACCTTCGCGGCCTTCTTCTTCTCCTCCACAGTGCCTGGTCGTAGCGCATGAGTAGCCCCACTGTCCAACAGCCCCATTTTGCTAACTGCCGGCAACGTTCCCAGTGCCTGAGCCCTTCGCACCTCCTCACTCTCAGCTGAGGTGATACGCATCACTTTCATCGTGGCACTGTGCTCCATCAAGGACTTGACCATTCTTTGCGCATTCTCCAACATCTGCTGCATGTCCATAGGCGTGCCAGGTATGGGGTCATCTAGCGTAGATCTCGTTGCCATAGGAGTCGACGCCATCGTACTCGCCTCCGATATCACCGTGGCCACATCATCCGCCTTGATCATCTTCTGGGTCTCGGGTTGCATCGGCTTCGCCTGCACTTGCGCTGCCGTTGGAGTTGTAGGTGTAGATGCCGTCGCAGTCGTGGTAGTACCTTCTGCCGGCTTTGTAGGACACGCCTTCGATTGATGGCCCTTCCCACCACAGTTCCAGCACCGTTCTCTCTTTGCATCCCGGTCCGGCCAACTATGGACAAACCGGCATCCCTTTCCACGTCTACACCCACCATCCGTAACACCAAAAAACTTGCAAGGCTTTTGAGATCCAGCGCTGTCTCCCTTGGGTTGGTTGTTGGCTGCCCCACCTGCAAGACCCCTCAGTCTGGCCTGAGGACTGTTAGGCGTGGTCGATGGTGAGTTGTTGCCCAGCGCCCCCTTTGGTTTTCTGGAGGCCAGCTGCTCAAACTCCGCCAGGAGAGCCTTATGCACTGCCTTCACATTGTCCTCCACCGGCACGAAGTCGACCTTCAACTGGTAGCGGACCAAGTTCATGCGAAAGGCCACCTCATGGTGGTCTAACAGCGGCTTCTTCACCAAGACGTCGATAAACCGAAGTAGCACCGACGGGTCTGGTATCACCACCCCCAAATCCTTTGCCCTCTGGAAGTACCTCCACCACAAGCGCAGACCATCCACGGCCTCAGCTGCAGTACTTGTCGCTGGCGGCGACTCCAAGTGGCGCAGCAAAGAACTCTTCTCCATCGCAGATCCCGGGCGATACAGCACCATCAAGCGGCTCAGAATTTCCAGCGAAGATCTAACTCTCGACGCCACAAGTTCCCGCCTGATGTCCTCAGGCGTCGACGCCAACAAGAGCGTGGCCGCCCTCCGATCAACGCGCTGCCACCTCGCCTCCTGCAGCACAGGGGAAGCCAAGGGTGCCAGGTTGAGCCGATTGAAGTGATCTGCCTTCTGGTAGGAGTCATAGTACGCCTTGGCACAGTCCTTTACTTCCTGCCACCATTCCGCCGACGAAGTTGAGAGGTCTCCCATAGCGTGCTCCAGGCAGTGGAGCCAGTCCCCAAAGTCCACGCTTGCACTATCACTCAAGGCGGGAAGCATCGGAATGTCCCCCACCGGCTTGTGCACATCCTCGGTTCTCTGTAACTTCGTAATCACCCGCTCCAAACCTTCCAACAGCCTGCTCATGGGATCACCTCCAGGACCAAGTGACGGCTGCCCCCTTTCTCCTCCCGACTCCGGCAGTGCCTCTGCAGATGCCACAGCCGGTGGTTGTTTTGATTGCACAGCACCTCCTGATTGACTAAGGTGCCCTCCCAGAACTTGTGGTGGACCTCGTGGATAGACCAACGGCTGCTCTTGACCTCCTGCTGCGTCACTCTGACCATATGGCATAAAGCCAAAACGACCTCCTGCTGCGTCACTCTGACCATTCAAAAAACGACCAGGTAGCGGACCAGGATTGCCTCGAGATTCGGTGGAAGCTCCTTGCTGAACTGGACGTAAAGCATCTCAACTTCCCCCAGGTAGCGGACCAGGATTGCCTCGAGATTCGATGGAAGCTCCCTGCTGAACTGGAGGTAGCGGACCAGGATTGCCTTGAGATTCGTGGAAAGCTCCTTGCTGAACTGGATGTAGCGTCCCAGGATTGCCTCGAGGTCCAGGCTGGCCCGATGGAACCGGCAAGGCCCCCACCAGACCATTCCACAGGTGTTGGCCCCAACCCTGCCCAGAACGATACCTTGCTGCATGCGGCAACTGCCCTTCTCCCACGCGCTCTCGCTCCAGTTGCATCCTTCCCATCTCTTCTCTCAAGCTATTTGCCTCCCGTCTCGACTCCTCTAGCTCCCTCATCATCCCTTGTAGCTGGCCTTGTAGCTGCTGACGCACTTCTTCCTTCACCGCTTCATAGGTGCTTCCTCCAGAACTGCCACCACCATCCATAGGCCTCGGTCCCACCCCGGTGGCACCATACAGCAGTGGAGCCCGCTGCTCCATTGCCCTCATCTGTTGCCTCTGCTCATCGTCAAACAAAGGCGTCCTCGATGCTTCATCCCGTTCCCCATGCGACGTAGGTGACTCCAATGCCCTCTGCGATCTCGACGGTCTCGTCATAGGCGACGGAAAGGGACTCGGCATCCACTCCGGGGGTGTCACCTGCTGTGACTGCCCCATAGCCTGGAAGAAGGCTCCCAGGCGAGAAACCCAGGTCGGCATCGCACCACGCGGTTGTGCCTCTCTTCCCATCGGACTGCCTTGCGCATTCCAGCTGAAACCTCCAGGTTGTTGATGCCCTCCACTATTCAGGCCATCGCGCAGCATGCCCATGTCCCCAGCTTCACCGGCCGGCTCCACCTCCCTCGTCATTGAGGTTGAGGCCACCACAGCTTGCATGCCACCTGCAACCACCGCTCCAGAAGCCAGCGCCAAGGCCTGAACTCTTGCCACCTGACCACTTGCACCATGCCCAGAGTCCATGCTATCTCCAGAAACCATTGCTCCATCCATACTTCCAGCCACGCCAGTGTCGCCAGCTTCCAGTGCACCATCCGGCCTTACGGCCTCCGGTTGGGCTCCATGAGCCTCTCCACCATCCAAAGCTGGTCTTACGACCCCCGGTTGGCCCCTCTCGGGCCCCGCAGCTGTTGTCGTCATCCTCGGCGAAGTAGGGCGAGCACCATTTGGGCTCATAACCTCCTGGTTGGAGGTCCCAGGAGGCATGGAGTCTGCAGGGTTGGCCATGGCTCACAGAGTTCACTCGAATTTTCCTCTCCACAACAGCAACGACACGAAACCCTTGGTCTTACTCGTTCAGGTGCTATACCTGCGATGCCTTGTACATGTAAAAACTGTGTTGCGTGCCCACACCGGGCCATGTGCTTCTTTGCCCTTCACGGGCCTCGTTTTGCCCTTCACCGGGCTTGGACCGCTTCACAGCGACATGCACCTCTTTCTTCCTGGAAAAACGTGAGCACACCAGCAGTTTAGGGTTTAGGGTTTAGGGCTATATAACCCTGAACCTCTATAGTATAAGCCAGGCGGCCAGGGGCACTGCTGACAGGACTGCCGGATCTGCAGAGAAGAGTCGCAAGCCTCGACGCGTGGAGAAAAATTCTTCGAGGGCTTAGGGGCTTGTAGGAAGGGTTTAGGGTTTAGGGTTTAGGGTTTAGGGTTTAGGGTTTAGGGTTTAGGGTTTAGAAGTTTAGAGTTTAGGGCTCAGGTTTTAGGAGGTTAGGGATTAGGGTGATTTGGTGGCCTTGAGCTTGTGGGATTTGCGGGAAGGCGAAAGTACGGCAGAATGGTTGAGAATGTACCTCAGGGTTTAGGGTTTAGGTTAGGGGTTCAGAAGTACTTCTAAAGCAGGTACTTACAACGCTACTTTATAACTGCCCATGAACCTTCAAGTAGCGGTTGAGACAGAAGGATTATCCGAAAAAATGGGAACCTCAATTTGGATCCCCAAATAGTAGGGAGCCCCTTGTAATAAGGTAGCGCCCCATACCAGTAATATCGTAAACCCCTAAATAAGGATTGAAGGGCCCATTGCTTTTTGACAAGGGCGTAGAGCTCCCCAAAACCTGACAACACCAAACCCCGTAAAGTTCAGAAATGAAGGTATGATTCAACCCTAAACCCTAAACCCCAAACCCTAAACGCTGAACCCTGAACCCAAGCTTCAAGAGGAATGCCCTGCGCACGCAAGCCCTCACCTAAAACCCTGCCAAACTCCCTAAACCCTAAAACTTAGACCTCAACCCGACCCCTAAACCTTACTTCAAAACCTATGGGGTTGAGATCCTAAACTCTAAACTTAAACCCGAAACCCCCAAAGCCCTAAACCCCCAACCCCCCAAACCCCCAAACCCCTAAACCCCTAAGCATTACTCCACAATCTACCGGGGTTGAGATCCTGACCCCTAAACCCTGCATCCAAACAGTTTCTCTACGAAATATTCAACATACCCCTTGGGCATACCCCATTAAAAGAAGTTCCCTAAACCTTAAACCCTAAACCCTAAACCCGCAAGCCCAGCCACCGCCCTTGGAGGCCACCAGGAACAGCAACCTCTGGGAGTTTTTATACCGGGGGGGGGGGGGGTGTGGGGTTAGGGTTTGGGGTTTGGGGTTTAGGGTGAAATCATGTGAAATCATGGGCCCTCTGTCTGCTCTACCCCTCAAACCCAGAGGCCCTAAACCGCAAAAAAACCAAAAACTAAAACCTCAACCCCGAGCCCCACTTGAGCATTGTGTTTTTTCATTGTGTGGGGTGTTGTAATGGCATGGGTATCCTACGCGGGCCTACGCGTCAGCTCATGTTTAGTAGGCGCGCGGCCTACGCGCGGAGTATGTTGTTGACGTGTGAATACGCGGACCTACGCGGCAAGCATAGACAACCTACGCGGACCTACGCGCCCATACTGCATAGACTTGCCTACGCGGACCCTACGCAAGCCTACGCCCTGCAGGCAAAATGCTACGCGGCCGACTTTCAATGATCGCGTCTCTACGTAGCCTTGCTCCTAGAAAAAAACGCTGCTCACTTGGAGGTTCGTGGTTATTAACCAACTATCACTGTACTTATAACCCACTTATAAGCCCCTTAAGTGCCCTAATATGGTTCTTAGTACAAATACAAGTACAGTTACAATTGGTTAAGAAGTAGTATGAACCTTCAAGTAAACCCTAAACCCTAAACTCTCAACCCATCAACCCCCTATGCCGTCAACCCTGAAACCACTAAAACCTCAAACCCTCAACCCCAAATCCTCTAAACAGCCCTAAAGCCCTAAACCCTCATCCCGAAGTCCCTGAAAATCGAACCCTAAACCTGGTTTAGGGTTTAGGGTTTAGGGTTTAGGGTTTAGGGTTTAGGGTTTAGGGTTTAGGGTTTAGGGTTTAGGTCAATCCCAACCCCCCAAAAAATCCCTAAACGAATCTTCCACCTGCAGCCGGGGTGAACATCATCGCAAGTTGTCGAAAGAAAAGTTAAATATGGGAGGACCAACAAAAGAACCCCCTAAACAATAAACCCCAAACCCTAAACCCTGAACCCTTGCGAACAGAAGGTAGGCACATGAATCGTGCACCCGATCTCCCTACCATACTCTCAACCCTCAACTAAACCCAAGAGTAACCTAGGAATGAAAAGGTACCCTGCTCTGGGTCCTGGCAAACCCCGAAACACTTAAACCCACTATGCCTACGCCGAGAAAGGCGACTGTGGCTCTTTTGGTCATGACCGGCGACGGTCTGAGCTAAGAACCGCCAAGAAATTTGGGTTTAGGGTTCAGGGCTTGGGGGTTAGCTTTAGGGGTTTAGGGGTTTAGGGGTTCAGGGGTTCAGGGTTTAGGGTTTAGGGTTTAGGGTTTAGGGTTTAGGGTTTAGGGTTTAGGGTTTAGGGTTTAGGGTTTAGGGTTTAGGGTTTAGGGTTTAGGGTTTAGGGCTCAAGGCTTGCTTACTCAGGCCCCAGCCAGGGCCCAAACCCACAAAACAGACCTTATAAACCCAAAGCATCCCAAGCCCTACAACGGGTGGCACTCCCCAAACACACAAAGGGTATTAGGGTAGGGTATTAGGGTTTAGGGTTAGGTTGAAGGTTCATGGGTAGCTATAAGTAGGGATATAAGCAGGGAAACCTATATTACAAGCTTAAGCAAGGCACTTAGAACCCTTCTTCCAGTTGTAACAATAAACCCTAAACCCTAAACCCTAAACCCTAAACCCTAAACCCTAAACCCTACATACAACTACCCACGAACCTTCACGTAAGGAAAAAAGCTGCCGTTGCATCCTCGCAGCCCGGCCGTCGCCACGGCTCCGCTGGCACCCAGCTTTAGGAGCAGTCGGAGGGTCCTTGGTTTCAGGGTTTGGGGTTTGGGGTTTAGGGTTTAGGGTTTAGGGTTTAGGGCTTCGGGTTTGGGGCTTAGGGTTTACAAATTTAGTGTGTTTTAAAGACTTTTAGGTTCCGCGCGTATCAGTAGAACTACTGCTTGCGGGCGGCTATAAACCAAGACTCAAGGGACTAAAGAGGATATTGAGGGGCTGCTTAGGTATATCGGGACTATCTTATAATGTATATATAGGGGTTAAATATGGTTTATATATGGGAATAAGGTTAAGGGTCCCTTGTAGGGGTCCCTCCTTTTGCCCCTGCAAAAAAAAAACTTAGCGCAGAGGGGCATAGGGCGTTTGGGCATGCCCCACCCCCCCGTCCCCCGCCTTCGCCCACCCCCGCTCCAAACCTCAGCTGGGAAGGGAGGGCTTAGGTTTAGAATTCGGGGTTTAGGGTTTAGGGTTTAGGGTTTAGGGTTTAGGGTTTAGGGTTTAGGGTTTAGGGTTTAGGGTTTAGGGTTTAGGGTTTAGGGTTTAGGGCTTAGGGTTTAGGGTTTAGGACTTCGGGTTTAAGATTCAACCTATATCTTCGACCGTTGCGTTTTGATCCTCGAGGGCCTGCTGGCGAGAAAATCGGGTGCAGGGTAAAGATGATTCGGCCCCAGGTTTAGGGTTTAGGGTTTAGGGTTTAGGGTTTAGTGTTTAGGATTTAGGGTTTAGGGTTTAGTGTTTAGGGTTTAGGGTTTAGGGTTTAGGGTTTAGGGCTTAGGGTTTAAAGTTTAGGGTTTAGGGTTCGGATTTAGGGTTTAGGGTGATTGAAAAACCCCGAACCCAAGAGCTTCAGGGCTTGTGGGCTCAGGATTGAACCCTAAGCGCCAGCCCCACATGGAGACGTTTTTGGAGTCAGACTCTGAGTGTGACTTGAAGGTTCATGGAGTGGGGTTGTAAGTACCTTACACAGGACATAAGGTTCTAAATACAGGCAACCTTACTTATAACCCTACTTAGGACTGCCCATGAACCTTCAAGTCGTAGCCCTATTCCCTGAACCCTAAGTATTCTGCCTTTTTCAAGGTGTGTTGGGTTTAGGGTCCCCTGTTTTCGTAGACCCTTAACTCGGCTCTTACCCCCGCCCCCCCCCCCCCCCCCCCCCCCGCCCCAATCTCCTTCAGCCGCCCCTAAACCCGAATTGAAGGTTCATTGGTAGTGTTAAGGGTTTGAAGTTGCAAGTGAGGCAACGTATAATATAACCTTAATCAAGGTGCGTGAAACCCTACGTATGACTACCCATGAACCTTCGAGCAGACCCCAGTAGCCCTAAAACCCGAAACCCTAAACCCAAAACCCAAAACCCAAAACCCTAAACCCTAAACTTTCTGGCTCTTCGAAGCGTCTGCGACGCCGTCCGGACGTCGCCAGACTGCATGGAGGACGGTAGGAAGGCTTGGGCTGTGGACGACAGCCTCAGCATTTCGAATTAGGGTTTAGGGTTTGGGGTTTGGGGTTTAGGGTTTTGTGTAAGGCTTTGGGTTTAGGGTGGACGGATGATGTTGGGCTGATTGGGGCTTGGGGCTTGGGGTTGAGGTGGGCTCAGGGCACGTTCTTCAAAGAGAAGCCTTCAACCTTCCAAGTCCCTAGAACCTACGCCCCCAAGCACACAATCCCTGAAACTCTAAACCCTAAACCCTAAACCCTAAACCCTGAGGTAGTTACAAGTAGGGTGATAACTTATAAGTAAGGTAGCCTGTATTGTAACCCTACTTAAAATACCTGCAACCCCACACATAACTACGTACCCATGAACCTTCAGTAAACCCTAAACCCTAAACTCTAAACCCCGATTAAACCCCAAAACCGTAACTAAACCCTAAACCCTAATTAAACCCTAAACCCTAATTAAACCCTAAACCCTAAACCCTAAACCCCTAGGCTTTACGGTTTAGGGTTTAGGCCTAGAGGAATTCTATGTAAAGTGAACTCGTTTCCTGTAAGGTTGCGGGAGACACTGCGCCGGTTGGTATGATTCCATCGCTTAACAAGCTGCTGGACTGGTGTGTGCTTAGACTTGACATGCTGAGCCCTGAGCCCTCAACCCTAAACCTTAACTACCCTAACCCTAAACCCTAAACCCTAAACCCTAAACCCTAAACCCTAAACCCTAAACCCTAAACCCTAAACCCTAAACCCTAAACCCTAAACCCGAAGCAACCCCGGCCAGGCAATGATGGTGCGGCCGAGTCACGACTCAGAGGCCAGCAAGCCGAAAACCCAGAGCAAGGATTTGGTGATCTGCCGGCGGCGTTTTCGGGCGTATTTTCGGGGCTTGGGGCTTCTGGAGGTTTGAAAAATGGTCCCTTAAACCCTAAACCCTAAACCCTAAACCCTAAACCCTAAACCCGAAACCCTAAACCCTAAACCCTAAACCCTAAACCCTAAACCCTAAACCCTAAACCCTAAACCCTAAACCCTAAACCCTAACCCTAAACCCTAAACCCGAAACCCTAAACCCTAAAACCTATAGCGCTTCGGGGAAGACCCGGAGCCACGATTTGGTGATCGGAGGGAAAGGGTGGAGGGGGGCCTTTGGGAGAGCTCAGGCTTCACGGCGCTTGAAACTGCGCCGCTACGCCCTAAACCCTAAACCCCAAACCCAGGGTTTCGGGTTCAGGGTTCAGGGTTCAGGGTTTAGGGTTTAGGGTTTAGGGTTAGCAGCTCCGGGTCGAGCAATCTCTAGTAGAGCCGCTGTTTGGACTGTAGAATAAAACCCGCCCACCCAAAGAATCCCAAAACATAAAGAACTAAAAAGTTGGGGGTGGGTTGGGGGGGGGGGGGGGGGGGGTTGGGGGGGGTTGGGGGGGGGGGGGGGGGGGTGGGGGGGGTGGGGGTTGGGGGGGGGGGGGTGGGTGGGGGGGGGGTGGGGGGGGTTGGGGGGGGGGGGGGGGGGGTGGGGGGTTTGGGGGGGGGGGTTGGGCGGGGGGTTGGGGGGGGGGTGGGGGGGGGGGGGGGGGGGGGGTGGGCCTGTGGCCATGAAGGTTGGGGCCCAACCTTAATGGGGAACGTGGCCATTGGCAAAAAACCCGCCATTGGCAAAAAACCCGAAAAGTTGCCGATGGCCACGGTTTTTTGCCAATGGCCACGTTCCCCAAAGGTTGGGGGTATTTTGTGCGAATTGGCTACCGAAAACCCATTTTGGCGACCAACCTTAATGACATTGGTGGCCATTGGCAGAAAAGCCATTGGCAACTTCCCGTGGCCATTGGCAAATTTGCCCATGGCCACGGCTTTTTTGCCAATGGCCACGGTTTTTTGCCAATGGCCACGTTCCCTATTATGGTTTAAATTAAAAAAAATAAATATATATATAAATAAATAAATAAATAAATAAATAAATAAATAAATAAATATATATATATATATATATGCTACCCCCCCCCCTCCAAAACCTACCGTTTTCTAATTTTCTACACTTGCGTGACATCAAAACGCTTTAAAGATGAGACCGACTCCCTAAATCCTTTGACCTTATTCACACAATTTTCTGTTGCATAAACCCTCTTTCCAAAATCCTGCTCGCTAAATCCGAAAGCACGGGATTCCTACATCGTATTCCCTAAATCATATTCCCCCAGTCCCTAAATCTGGGGCGGGCGGGGGGGGGGTGGGTCACTAAATGGCTCACTAAATCTTCTCGCTAAATCCTAAAGGGTGGGATCCCTAAATCATATTCCCATGATTTTACTCCCTAAGTCTTTTCCCAAAGCCCTAAAGAGGGAAGTCTTGAAATTCTGAAGAGGAGAGCCTCTGAATACTAAAAGAGAATTACTACCTCCATTACGGGGGTTTCCGTATGGGGAAATACCGCCACAGTGAATGAATATTTTCCGGGGGTGCTCAAACATCTGTCTGCAGGCTTCGTTTTTGATTGCTGAGCTGCAGTCTGGATCGCTACAATACATTCCTATTGTGCTTAATAGAGAATGCATACATTGCCATGGTCTCATTATTGCAGTGCCCTGCCTTTCTTATTGCGGTGGGGGGGTCCCACCAATTAAACAGATGCTCGGATAAAATCTTATCGGGATCCCTAGATCTGGTTCCCTGAAATTAACTCCCTAAGGCCTAAAGGTGGAGGGCGGGGGAGGGGGGCTAAACCCTAAAGAGGAGATCCCCTAAATCCTAAAAAGCATTCCTTAGTTTTACTTTCTAAATCCTATTGCTTAAGCCCTAAAGAGGGGTGTCCTAAAGAGGGGGATCCTTACTATAAATCTTAAAGGTGAGCCTCTCCGTCTACATCATAAAACAAAGAACCTTACTCAGTAGATCTTATCGCTAAAGTCAACAAAGAAGGATCCCTCAATCTTATCCCTTAATTTCACTCCCTAAATCATATTGGGGAAGAGGGGTGGGAGGGAGTCACCAAATCCTAAAGAGGGAATCTTAAGTAGCCTTAAATCCCCCAAAATGAGACCCCCCCCTAACTCATACAAAAGCCAACCTTGCTCAATAAATCTTCTCGCTAACGCTAAAGCTTTAGCGATAAGATTTGCGCCCCCTTAGAAAATAGGATTTGGGGACTAAGCTTTGGGATGCTCCCCACTTCAACACCTATTCCCTAAATCCTTCTCGCTAAGTCCTAAAGAGCGGGCTCCCCTATAATGATGAAATATGTCCGATTCAAATTTGAATCGGCCGATTCAGTTTTGAATCGACCCTCAAATCAAAGATTGAAGTCGTCGTAATGTTGCAATACTCACATGCATATTCATACTGTGTATTGGCTTTATATGTATGTATGAGTTGGTACGTAATCTGTGTACTCACTCAATCTCCAACGCAACAAATTTGCTTATAAGGACTTAATTTGCTTCTAAATAGAAGGGGAGAGGGCGCCAGGGGTCGGTCTTCCAAAATAAGTAGGACCAAAAAACACTCCCCACCACACCCCCCCACTCCCCTCCACTTCACTCCACTGCGTGTTCTGGGTTTGTTTAAGGGTATTGTCAGGGCTTATTCTCCAAAACCCTATCGATCCAGGGTTTAGGATTCTAACGAGAAGCCCCAAAACCCCAAGCCTATAGGGTTAAGCAATTTAACCTCAACCCTTAATCTTTAAACACCCTATAGGGTTACGGTTTAAAGGTTTAGGATTTGAATTTCAGACATGTAAACCTTGACCTACAATTCAACGGAAACACGAAACCTTTAACCCTTGCAGGGTTAAGGTTTAAAGGTATAGGGTTTAAGACATGGGCACTCTAAACCCCTATCGATCCAGGATTTAGAGTTTTAAAGAAAAGCCCCGAAACCCTATAGGATTAAACAAATAAGCCCAATTCTTTAACCTTTAAACCCTGTAGGATTAAGATTTAAAGGTTTAGGGCTTAAGATATAGGCATTTAAATCTTGACCTGCAAATACACCGAAACCCTTAAACTTTAAGCGTTAGTTCAAGGTCTAGAATTTAAGATATATGTATTTAAACCTTGACGTGTAATTAAACGAAACCTGCAACCTGGAAACTTTATAGGGTTAAGGTTTAAAGGTTTAGGGCTAAAGATATATGATTTTGAACCTAAGCCTGCAATTAAGTTGAAACACATAACCTTTAAACCCTATAGGGTTAAGATTTAAAGGTCCCGGGCTTAGCGTTTTATAGAGAAGCCCCAAAACCCATATAGGATTACAATTAACCTAAACGCGCACGCAACCTTCATGTTGACGGCCGACATGAGGAGTATGCTATGGCTGGAAACTGCGCGTTTATAGCCCAAGCTGCGCGTCGAAATTGTGCACATATAATGGAACCACTTTCAGTGCTTCAATATATAATACCATGGCCTAGAGTTTTGTAAGATATTTTTTAACCATAAGAAAAATCTTCAGGACCGGGCGTTTTAAAACTCCTTGCTTAGCCACAAGAGGAGTTTTAAAACTCCTGCCACCGAAGATTGAAGATTGAAGATGTCTCAGGACTCTTTGTGGGAATCTTCAATCTCAAGTAGTCGGGGCCGGGAGTTTTAAAACTCCTTGCTTAGCCACAAGAGGAGTTTTAAAACTCATGCCACCGAAGATTGAAGATTGAAGATTCCTGGAAAGAGTTCTGGAGAATCTTCAATCTTCAATCTTCGGGGCCACGAGTTTTAAAACTCCTTGCTTAGCCACAAGAGGAGTTTTAAAACCCCCTGCCCTTAAGATTGAAGATTGAAGATTCCTGGAAAGAGTTCTGGGGAATCTTCAATCTTCAATCTTCGGGCCACGAGTTTTAAAACTCCTTGCTTAGCCACAAGAAGAGTTTTAAAACTCCTGGCCCTGGAGATTTTTTATTGGAGTCTCTAAGTATTTAATATTTCGTATCGGATGTGTATATATATATATACATCCGGCTTCGAATTTCATAAACATAACGTCTCGACATAGAAAAGGGTA